ACCTGTATTGCCGTGAAATACATATTTATTGTGTTTGTCGTCACAACATATGTGTCGCACTGAGTGTAGGGGTGTGTGAGTGGAGTGAGTAGTGTTTGCCTCAAATCACACCCTATTCTCCATTCAATGCATACTTTAATTCAATTCATTTGATTTGATTGATTGTGTGAAGCATTCAAACAATCCGTTTGCCACTCATTTCCACTCATTCACCGAAACAGCCGTTGAATTGAGTGTCAAATACAGGCAAACCGTTTGCATTAGTAAACCATTAGTCCGTTGCATATATAGTGTCTCCGAAGACATCACACAAATCGCGAGCAATGGACGACTTAGAGGACGACTGCAACTCAAACGGTGGCGACAATTGGATCCCAAACCAGAAGTACACCAATTGGGAGATGGAGTGCATCAACAGATTGGAGACATCACCCGATTTGGACCAACAGATCGAAGTGGAAAAGGGAGGTAAGTGTCCACTGAGTCGAGTCATTAGTACATCCATTCACTCGTGAGTTAATTGTCTCCTCATTTGTGTCCCGATTCGCAGGCAATGCACACAAACTGTGGGTTTCCTTCCAGACGGCCGCCTGTAGTATCGCTCAACTCTATCAGGGTTTGTATGCCTGTCCTCCCCGTCCGCTGTATGGTCTGTACTGACTGTGTTTTTCTGTGTGTCTGTGGATCAGGTCGTGAGCAGCAGTTGTCCGTATGGGTGCCCTTCCAAAACGCCGCGTCCGCCGTCACCACTCTCTACAAGGATTGCATTGAATCTCAGAAACGCTTTTCAGAGTTTGGTTTCCAATGCGGACAACAGAAGCGAAACAAAGAGCTGTTGTCGTGGATCAAGAAGCGGAAGCGTCTGATCCGTCGCGAAGAGCTGATTGCGTTCCTGTCGGGCGCCACCCCTCAGAGCCAATACGGGCACCCATTCCACCACCACTTCCATCACTCGCACCACCGCTCGTGGAATCCGCCGAAGCCTCGCCTCTCGATGAGCGACAGCACCGGACGCTCGGCTTTCACGCGACTCTCACTCAACGACGGCTTAACTGACGGCAACTGCAACTCAAACCTAAACACCGATACCTCTAATAACGACGAAACGGATTTGGAGACATTTCGCGAAGCACTCGAAGGTCTGTTGCCATCCCCGGCCGTAGTGTCGGTGCCTATCGTACGATCACTAATGTCTTGTCTTGTCGTGTATGCGATGTATAGGTCTGAAAGGGAGCGCATCCCCGCAGTCATCCGATCGCAACAGTTATCGTCAGACGAGTAGTCGTCCGCTAATCCGTGTCTCAAATAATAGCAATAATTCTCTCGAAGAGTTAAACGCTTTCATATCGGAGGAGTACAACCGACACGTGGAGTCCCGCAAACGGGTACTGGAGTCGTCCGGCGACGTGACTATGGACTCACCCACTCATAAGCGCTCAAAACACACATAATAGTACTAATGGTTATTGAATTGAATTGAAATGAGACACAAAAATCTTATGTTTAAAGCAATTAATTGTTTACCTTTTTTTAGTTCTCACATATCAGTTATGGCTTTGAGTTTGAATTTATTAATTAGTTCTTTGATTTGATTCACTAATTTAAAGCCAATAATTGTAATAATATTTGTTTTATTATGCGATGAAAAAATCAGTTGATATTTAGTTACGGAATCTTTAACTCTTTGACAATAAATGTAAGTATTTGTACATAAATTTACCACAAATTTTCCCAAATATTTAATAATTGTTATAATAATCGGCTCCTTATGTTAAACGATTTCTCGATGAATTTCTCTCAAAAACTGCTCCCTTTTTCTCTCTATATATAGTTATCGTCTCATAACTCTTACCGAAATTTTTTTTATTTTAATTGTTTTCGCAAATTGTCAATACTTTTCAAATTGTTAATATAAATTTCAGTTTCATTACTGAACTCATTTCCCGTTTCTGAATGTTTTGCGAAATTGTTTTT